AACTATGCCTTCTTTTTGGGCGCTGCCGTCTTCTTGACTGCCACCTTCTTCGCCTTGGGTGCCTTGGTTTTGGTGGCCGGCGCTTTCTTAGCCTTGGCCGGAGACTTTTTCGGTTTCGCGGCTTTGGGTTTAGGCGCTGCGGCTACCTTTTTCACCTTCTTGGCGGCGGGCTCGCCGGATTTCGGTTTCTTGGCACCGGTGCTCTTCCTCTTCTTGGCCGCTCCGGGCGCCTTGGACACCGCCGCTTTCTTGGCGACCGGCTTCTTTTTCGGCGCTACCTTCTTCTCTTTTTTTACTTCGGCGGCCAGTTTGAAATGGCCCGACGCTCCGTTGCCCTTGGTCTGGACCAGCTTGCCGCTGGCGACGGCCGACTTAAGGAATTTGCGGATGAAAGGCGCCAGCTTGGCAGCGTCCACTTTGTAGTTGGCGGCCAAGTATTTCTTGATGGCCGGCAACGACGATCCTTTTTTCTCCTTCAGTTCCTTGACGGCTGCGATCACCATCACGGCCGTGGTAGGATGGGCCGGTGCGGCTTTCTTCGCCTTGGGAGCGGCGGACTTCTTTTTCGGCGACTTGGCCTGGGCCGGCGACGAGGCGGCTGGTGCTGGTGCGGCGACTGCGGTGTCGGTCATGGTGAAGCGGTTTGAAATAGACTCTGGTACTCTGGTAAAATGAACAGGAACGGTGTGTATAACTCGCGTTTGGCCATCACGCCGTCTATATACTCGCCGCCATACCGACTAGTAAACGTTTACGGAATCGAATTTTCCGTTTTGACGTGATCCCGTTCCGTTTTATCTCGTTTTTTCCACTCGAAAATCACGTAACGGCGACAAATCTCGTTCTCCTTAAAGCCAACGTTATAGCAAATCCGTCGGTCGGTCGAGTTTTCACTTAAAATCGACGGCCGACGTGCCGCAGGAGGTTGTTCCGACCAGTCCGACTATTCAACGATACACCTCTTTCGAGGTCGATTAGGACTCGTTAATTTCGAGTTAAACTAAAAAATCTTTTCGATTCGCAAACTGCACGTGTATTGAAAAATTATCGCGTAGGCTCTAAGAGTGTGCGGTATGAAGAGACCGAAGGGGGCGGTGTCGAATTCGGGTCGTTAGTAGTTTTACGTGTCGCGTAGTTATCATCAAAACTCTATGCGATATTTTGACGGCGGCAACACCGACCGAATCGACTTAAGATTACACCGAAAATAGTAAAAACAATTTTAATTGTCATTGTAAAAATATATTACCTATTCGGCTATTAAAGCCGCCCCGATTTCTGTTAAAAAGAAGACTGCCGAACGCTCAACTCTATTTTAATTAAATCGTTAGCCGATTCGAACGAGTAAACCGTCGCGATTAAGACGTCTTTACATTTGTTTAAATTTATTTTATATATTTTCGAAAGTCCAAGACTGATTTATTACGTTTGCTCAATAGTAGTATTGTTAAATATCTAGACTCGCCCGTGATCGTCGAGGCAGCACAATGTATGAACAACGAGTAGCCCGTTTACAAAACCGATTACGTTTCAAAAAATTAATATCGGTATTTTTATTTTTAAGTTTTATGATAACGTTTTGGTTTATTTTGTCTTGAAATAAATTTCCATAACCCATTTTTTACCTGATAAACATATACTTTATGTGTAGGCCCATTCCCAAAAGTTATTGTCTGCAGTAATTGCCATGAGGCATGTAATATTGGACCGTTTGTCAAATAAAAACGTATTATCAACATAACGGGTTTCACATAGGTATTACATATTGTATTTTAATATTAAAGTCGGAAACGATTATTTCTCATTTTATTAAACGAAAATGCTAATTTATTATTGTAAAATTAGAAGTACAAAATTTATTTTATGAATAAAATCGTGTTTTTTTTTTACTCCAGAAATAATCTACTCGAATCAAAAACTTTTCGTTTACTCACGTTCGAGTGCCTTATTAATTTTTCATTTTAAACGTGGTTGGAAAACTGATTTAACAAAAAAACAATTGCAATTTGTAGGTAAAGGCCGTTTGTTTTGGACATTTTATTAAACGGGTTTTTTCATATTTACCCAAAATTTCAAAAAAAGTTGACTTTTATAGTTAATTGTACATAGGCTATTCGATACACAAAATACAAACACCAGCCGAACAATGGCCATTTCACATTAGCAAGTGATATATTATTATTTATTATATTTAATTATTATATATTAATTATATAAAGTAATTTATTATATTATTTAGTTTTCAGTTTTCACAAACGTATAGAACCTATTGGTATCGTCACTGTCCGTGTATTTTAAATCCAGTGCCGCGGAAACGTGTGGAGCCCATATCTACCTACTTTCAGATAACATAGTTTTAAACGACGCGCCACAATCTACGGGGTTTTTTCTTTTTTTTTTTTTTAATAACGCGTCCATCCCTCCCGTCGGACAAACCGGATAGAAAATAATAATTCCTTTACACACCGCGTTCTACAACCTAACAAACTCATATCGACTATAACGCGGCCGCCGCCGCCGACTACTTCCCGCGCGCGCCAAAAATACATTTCACACTATGCCTAACGCTATACCGACCCGTTCATCGTCTACCGCCACCGCCGTGTCTACCGCCTATTCTTTTACCCGCTTTTTTTTTTTAAATATAAATAATACTTCAATAAAAACGGTCGTTGGGAATTTTCAACATTAATCTAAAAATGTAAGTAACAACATTCTCGGGGGGATACCCACGACCGTCGATAATAATAAAACTATTGAGTACAAAACTGTTGTATCAATTTTATCAACAGCGCGGCGCCCGCTGTAAGGTCGATAGAGAAATAATTTTAACGCATGTAGTGGCCCTGAAAAGGGCCGTTTTAAAGAGGATTTGTAGAGGAGTATTGAGACGATTAAGCACGTTCTCCGCGAATACGGCGAGCCAACTGGATGTCCTTGGGCATGATGGTAACACGCTTGGCGTGGATAGCGCACAAGTTGGTGTCTTCGAACAGACCGACCAAGTACGCTTCGCTGGCTTCTTGCAGAGCCATGACGGCCGAGCTCTGGAAACGCAAGTCGGTCTTGAAGTCTTGGGCGATCTCACGGACCAAACGTTGGAACGGCAATTTGCGGATCAACAGCTCGGTGCTCTTCTGGTAACGACGGATTTCACGGAGAGCCACGGTACCGGGACGGTAACGATGGGGTTTCTTCACTCCTCCGGTCGCCGGTGCGCTCTTGCGGGCGGCTTTGGTGGCCAACTGCTTCCTGGGAGCCTTGCCTCCGGTAGATTTGCGGGCGGTTTGCTTGGTACGGGCCATGTCGGTAGTTCGTAGACTGTCTGTGAAAACTCGAAACGGTCGAATATGTCTCCGCACACCGAATGAGCTCGTATATATACAAATTCGGATCGTAGGCGCGAGTTCTCATTGGTCGACGGAACGGCCTGCCGGAATAGAGGGAGATCTCGCGATACCGCGCCGTGATTGGTCCGCGCGACGGCCCGATCATATAAATACGGCGCGAAAACGTTGTCCGGGCATCATTCGATTTGTTTCTTCAGTCTACCGCAGCTCTCCGAACGACAATCAGCAACAATGACCGGACGCGGCAAAGGAGGAAAAGGTTTGGGAAAAGGAGGCGCCAAACGTCATCGTAAAGTGCTCCGGGACAACATCCAAGGAATCACCAAGCCGGCCATTCGTCGGTTAGCCCGCCGCGGTGGTGTCAAACGTATCTCCGGCCTGATCTACGAAGAGACCCGCGGAGTGTTGAAGGTGTTCCTGGAAAACGTAATCCGCGACGCCGTCACCTACACCGAGCACGCCAAGAGGAAGACCGTCACCGCCATGGACGTGGTCTACGCTCTGAAACGCCAAGGCCGCACTCTATACGGATTCGGAGGTTAATTCCCGACGACCGTTCGCTTTGCACCCTACCTACTGTTCTTTAAAACGGCCCTTTTCAGGGCCACCATTTTATATTATTACAATTATTCATTAACGTTTATGTCATTTAATGCATTTCGCAGTCGGCTACATGAGTACGTTAGTGTATAATATTATGTGTCACGTGTTTGGATGCGCAAAATAGTTGATATTATGAAGTATACCGTATAAACTAACAAAACGTTATAGCGTATTGCCATTATAATAATACAAATACACACGAGTAGTTTTAACGGTATACATTTGTAATTGTTCAAATTAATATTTTTTATAGTACATACAGACTATTATGTTCTCTGTAACATACATGCTAGTTGACATAAAAAATATAACAAACTAAATGTATAATATAATATAAAAAATATAACATACTAATTGAATATTTGTGTGTTTTACAATTAGTAGAATCGCACGTGGGTAATATACGATTTTTATAACTATAGCCCATTGGTAAAATAGACATATAGTACTAATTTATTGTCACAATAATATAATATTGTAAGTAATTGATCTAAATCTATAATATCTATTAATATCGATGACAATATTATTGAAGAGACAATATTTCGATATTAACCAATGATGTTATCATTGTAGTGCCGGCCGATGTTGTAGCTAAATAGCAAAATACAATTGTCTTTTTTTTTTTAGTCAAGTGTCATTAAATCACTGTTGTTGTCACATATGTATACGTTGGTATTTCAAGCTCATACTAGTAATCATATTTGTTTTGCTCTACTAGAAGCATACTGGAATGTTGGAAAAAATAAAAAATTATCTATGTATATTATACTTAAATATTATTTCCAATTCGAGTTATAGTCATATTTTATAAAATGTTATTGACCTAAATTAATAACTAAAGTAGATTTGCTGAAATTCTAAGTTATAATTGTTTAAATATACCTATATTTTCTAAGGCACGACAAAATAATGTAACGATATTTTTCGCTCGACATAGCACATCATTTTATACCGAAAACACAACAAGAGTGTTGCAATAATAGTTAATATTTGGTGGCCCTGAAAAGGGCCGTTTTAATATGTATAAATACGGCGACGACGTTCTTAAGCTTTCTTCTCGGTCTTCTTGGGCAAAAGGACGGCCTGGATGTTGGGCAGCACACCACCTTGGGCGATGGTGACGCCGGACAACAGTTTGTTCAACTCCTCGTCGTTCCTGATGGCCAACTGTAAATGTCTGGGGATGATACGGGTCTTCTTGTTGTCACGGGCGGCGTTACCGGCCAACTCCAACACTTCAGCGGCCAAGTACTCCATGACGGCGGCCAGGTACACGGGAGCGCCGGCACCGACGCGCTCGGCGTAGTTGCCCTTCCTCAACAGACGATGGATACGACCGACCGGGAACTGGAGTCCGGCACGGGACGACCGGGTCTTCGATTTGCCGCTCTTTGCTTTTCCTCCTTTGCCGCGTCCGCTCATGATGCTCGATTGTAGATTGTCGTGTAGTGAGACGAGAGAAAATCCAGACGATACTGATGATCGGAACAGGCCAAAATCGGTATTTATACACTTTTAAGACGTAAATGCGTCTGTATGTTGGCCTACGTTTGAAAATAACGACGACGAAAAACCACACTTTGTAGATATAAACGTTCAATGCAAAGTGTTGTTTATACTCGTCGTGTTTTTCTTTGATGCTTAGACGTTGACGATGAAAACACGGCACATTGTAGGGTTCGCTTTTAAACACAAAGTGTTAATCTTACTCGTCGTTTTTTCGTCGACTCTTACAAATCGTACTCGATAAACCAAGTCGCGACGCGTAATAAATATGAGCGTAAACGATTTTCGAACCATCATTCGTCCACCAGCTACCGGCCAACTATTTCGACGACCCGCAAACCGTGTACAACCGCAGTCACTATGGCACCAGGAGGTAAATCCGCAGGCAAGGCCATGAAGAAGTCCGGCAAGGCGCAGAAAAACATCACCAAGTCCGACAAGAAGCGCAAGCCGAAGAGGAAAGAATCGTACGGTATTTACATCTACAAGGTGTTGAAACAAGTGCACCCCGACACCGGCGTTTCTTCCAAGGCTATGAGCATCATGAACAGCTTCGTCAACGACATTTTCGAACGCATCGCCGCCGAATCCAGCCGTCTGGCCCACTACAACAAGCGTTCGACCATCACCAGCCGGGAGATCCAGACCGCCGTCCGTCTCCTGTTGCCCGGTGAATTGGCCAAGCACGCCGTCAGTGAAGGCACCAAGGCCGTGACCAAGTACACCAGTTCCAAATAAGCATTTCGATATTAGTCGCGCGCTATATCCACTTAAAACGGCCCTTTTCAGGGCCACCAAATTATTATTCTGATACACGTTATTATATAATAATATTATTATTATTCGTAGTGTATCCTAATTAAGTTATTAATATCTGGGGTTTTTAATTTTTATTGACAATATCACCGACCGGACGACCGCCGTGTGTGTTATCGTCTTTTGTATCATTATATTACGTTTGTCGTCGGTTAGTACTACGACGTGTATTTTATTTGTACATTCAGCGAATTTTTTCACATTACATTACTAAAAATATAAATTCACTACACAAATTAGAAAAAAACGGGAAAACAATATTAGCTATAGATAACACTTAAATTAGCTATATATGTATATATAACAGCTTTATTAATTAAAAAAAAAAAAATTCAATAGTGATCTGCTCAATCGAGTGAGTTGCATAACGACACAGTTTACTGGTCATTACGTAGTATAATGTAGGTACTAATATTTTTTATTATTTTCGATAATTTTGTTTATTCAAAAAGTGTTAAATTTATTTTTTATAAAAACTCTTTTTATTTAAGTTTTGCGGTTACATCTAGTATGAACATAATATTAAATACTAAGTCATATTTAAAAATATCTTGAAAACAAATTTGAAGAGCATAATATTTGGGGTTTTATTAGTGCGCGCGTTGTTTTTAGCGCATTAACTTCCGGGCCGTTGTTATCATAAAATACCAATTTAGAGGTGGGTACAATATAATCAAAATACGACACATAATATTTATTAGTAACTACTACAAATGTTAGGATAATACTTAAATAACTGTAATTGTATACACTACACAGGATGAACTCAAAAATATATACAATAGCATATTATTAGAATAATATACACAACAAACGCGTAATGAAAACACCAACTGACTTGACCGTTTCAGATCCACGGGTATAATATTTATTAAATATTAAAATACAATTTTACCTTCAGAGTGGACATGTTATTATGTCTTCGAATTTGTGCTGTAGACATTTGACATTTTTTTCTCAAATAATTGGTTAAAACAGCTGGCGATTCCAATAATTATTTCCTCTTTTTCCTTCTCGTTATAATATATTATTATTATTCTTCGTAGTGTATCCTATTTAAGTTATTAATACCTGGGGTTTTTTATTTTTTATGGACAATATCGACGACCGCCGTATGTGTTATCTTCTTTTGTATCATTATTATATTATGTTTGTCGTTGGTTAATACTACGACGTGTATTTTATTTGTGCATTCAGCGAATTTGTTCACATTATGTTACTAAAAATATAAATTCACTACACAAATTAGAAAACAATATTAGCTATAGATAACACTTAAATTAGCCATATATGTATATAACAGCTTTATTAACCAAAATAAAATACAACAGTGATCTGCTCACTCGAGTTAATTTCATAACGACACAGTTTACTGGCAGAGTATAATATTATTGCATTCGCATATATATTATATTATTAGGGCCCGGGACTTCTACCGAATGGTCTGAGAAATAGATCAATTTTGATATACAACTTTGAATTACATTATAATTTCGCGCGCCCGGCAACGGTCGACCGCGGCCAACGACGTGGGTCGTTCATTCCGCTCATTTGTTTTTGTCCTGTTATCTATCTCTCGCGTGTGCCGTTTAACGCACAGCGGCCGCGTCTGTTGTTATTTTCCGTTTTTAATCAGTCAGATCAATTTGTAATATTTTATAATTATTGTTATTTTGATATATTTAAAGTTTTGTTTTTCTTTGTTTACTTATGGGTGTACAGCCATACTTGTAATTATAAGTCAATTAGGGTTTAGGACTGGCCAGACAGTCCTATGTATTGTCAAATCAATTAAATGTTGTTATCTGCGATAGCCAAGTATTTTTTATAGTTGGTATTTTTATTATTATTAATTTTTCCCGCTCGTCCGTTCTAAAGGCGTCGGGTAAAGCGTCACCCCTGCCCTTTCAATCTGTTTTAAATACGATTGTCATATTTCTATTTTGTTTGTATTCTATGGGTAATACCGACTAACAGTTGATAAACCACGGATTTATTCTAAGTTTGTATCTGTAGGACATCATTTTCCTAAATATACAATAACAAACGTATTTACCCGTATTGTAGTAGTTTTAACTTTTTCGTTCCATTCCACAATCACTATTACTTACTGCGTGGCTTGTATTACACGGGGAAACTACTATAATCTATAATTCGGTATGAGACTACCCTACCTACCGGGCAATTATTGTATATATTATAATCATTTGGTGGTCCTGAAAAGGACCGTTTTAAGGGTTATTTATGAGAGTTTTTAACAAACTATGCCTTCTTTTTGGGCGCTGCCGTCTTCTTGACTGCCACCTTCTTCGCCTTGGGTGCCTTGGTTTTGGTGGCCGGCGCTTTCTTAGCCTTGGCCGGAGACTTTTTCGGTTTCGCGGCTTTGGGTTTAGGCGCTGCGGCTACCTTTTTCACCTTCTTGGCGGCGGGCTCGCCGGATTTCGGTTTCTTGGCACCGGTGCTCTTCCTCTTCTTGGCCGCTCCGGGCGCCTTGGACACCGCCGCTTTCTTGGCGACCGGCTTCTTTTTCGGCGCTACCTTCTTCTCTTTTTTTACTTCGGCGGCCAGTTTGAAATGGCCCGACGCTCCGTTGCCCTTGGTCTGGACCAGCTTGCCGCTGGCGACGGCCGACTTAAGGAATTTGCGGATGAAAGGCGCCAGCTTGGCAGCGTCCACTTTGTAGTTGGCGGCCAAGTATTTCTTGATGGCCGGCAACGACGATCCTTTTTTCTCCTTCAGTTCCTTGACGGCTGCGATCACCATCACGGCCGTGGTAGGATGGGCCGGTGCGGCTTTCTTCGCCTTGGGAGCGGCGGACTTCTTTTTCGGCGACTTGGCCTGGGCCGGCGACGAGGCGGCTGGTGCTGGTGCGGCGACTGCGGTGTCGGTCATGGTGAAGCGGTTTGAAATAGACTCTGGTACTCTGGTAAAATGAACAGGAACGGTGTGTATAACTCGCGTTTGGCCATCACGCCGTCTATATACTCGCCGCCATACCGACTAGTAAACGTTTACGGAATCGAATTTTCCGTTTTGACGTGATCCCGTTCCGTTTTATCTCGTTTTTTTCCACTCGAAAATCACGTAACGGCGACAAATCTCGTTCTCCTTAAAGCCAACGTTATAGCAAATCCGTCGGTCGGTCGAGTTTTCACTTAAAATCGACGGCCGACGTGCCGCAGGAGGTTGTTCCGACCAGTCCGACTATTCAACGATACACCTCTTTCGAGGTCGATTAGGACTCGTTAATTTCGAGTTAAACTAAAAAATCTTTTCGATTCGCAAACTGCACGTGTATTGAAAAATTATCGCGTAGGCTCTAAGAGTGTGCGGTATGAAGAGACCGAAGGGGGCGGTGTCGAATTCGGGTCGTTAGTAGTTTTACGTGTCGCGTAGTTATCATCAAAACTCTATGCGATATTTTGACGGCGGCAACACCGACCGAATCGACTTAAGATTACACCGAAAATAGTAAAAACAATTTTAATTGTCATTGTAAAAATATATTACCTATTCGGCTATTAAAGCCGCCCCGATTTCTGTTAAAAAGAAGACTGCCGAACGCTCAACTCTATTTTAATTAAATCGTTAGCCGATTCGAACGAGTAAACCGTCGCGATTAAGACGTCTTTACATTTGTTTAAATTTATTTTATATATTTTCGAAAGTCCAAGACTGATTTATTACGTTTGCTCAATAGTAGTATTGTTAAATATCTAGACTCGCCCGTGATCGTCGAGGCAGCACAATGTATGAACAACGAGTAGCCCGTTTACAAAACCGATTACGTTTCAAAAAATTAATATCGGTATTTTTATTTTTAAGTTTTATGATAACGTTTTGGTTTATTTTGTCTTGAAATAAATTTCCATAACCCATTTTTTACCTGATAAACATATACTTTATGTGTAGGCCCATTCCCAAAAGTTATTGTCTGCAGTAATTGCCATGAGGCATGTAATATTGGACCGTTTGTCAAATAAAAACGTATTATCAACATAACGGGTTTCACATAGGTATTACATATTGTATTTTAATATTAAAGTCGGAAACGATTATTTCTCATTTTATTAAACGAAAATGCTAATTTATTATTGTAA